AATCTTTAAAAAAAAATCCTTAAAAAAAATCTGAAAAAAGAAAGTGAGTTGATAAGGGATGTGTTGTTAAATTAACTTGATGGCAGGAATCCCTTCAAAATGCATACATGCATCAAATCATAATATACACTTTAAATCTTTTGTCAATTATATGTCAATAAGGCTGAATATTTTTTTTAACTGAAGTACAGTTGACACAATTACATTAGTTTCATTAGTTTCATTATTAGTTATTATTATTAGTTATTATTAGTTATTATTTCATCATTAGTTACATTAGTTTCAGGTGTACAATACAATGATTCAACAATACATTATGCTACGCTCACCCTATCTGTTCCCATATGCTACTACAATACCAGTGACTATAATATTCCCTATACTGGACCTTTCATCCCCATGACTTCTTCATTCCATAACTGGAAGGTTATATCCCCACTCCCCTAAAAAAACTTTTTCTTAAAAAATTGAATCCCACCAAGATTTAACAGCTCTATCACCTAACCAAGCAAAGTGAGTCTTTGCAGTTAATCTTTTTCTTTTAAACTTTTTTTTTTCCTGGTCTAAGGAACATTCCCTTAAAGTTTATTTTCTGATTACCACCATGCCATTAAAAAAAAAAAAAATCAACCTTGCTTTTCCAAGCTGATACATGAGATAGAAATAAACTGGCATATTACTGGGTTAGGGATGCTCTTGCCTTTGTGTTGATTTCACTCAGCTTTCAGGGTGTTAGAACCCTGAACTCTTCTGGTTCTTACCCATTGCTGCCAGGAAGGTTACAACTGGTCTCTCACATTTTAAAAGCAAAAACAAACCATTCCCTTCAGTCCTGACCATAGTAAAACTAGTATCTTTAGCTCTCCCTTTATTTCATGAGGCCTCCTTATCACATTCTGTTGGAAAATACGGTCATGGCCCTCTATGTTTACCTATGTCTATGCTTACCCTTACTAACACAGTGGGCCAAATTATATTGATTTCAAATGTTAATCCAAACTTGCATGTCTTGATCATGAAGTATTATCATTTCTGTATTTAATGAATTCTGTTTCCTAATGATTTTGTTCAGTATTTCTGCACCTATATTCATAACTGTGAATATCCTACAGTTTTCCTTTTCTTACAAACTGTTTGGCCTTATTAAAAAAGTTAGGCTACTCTCATAACATAAACTGACAAGAGTTGTTTCTTTTTCCCCAGAAGATCTGGGGGGTTTTGGTTACTTTTTTTTGTATTTTAAGTAATCTCTACACTCCCAATGTGGGGCTCAAACTCATGACCCCCAGATCAAGAATCTCTACTAAGCCAGCCAGACTTCCCTCCCCAGAAGATTTCGTAAACAACTGAAATTATATGCTCACTCAGCCTGTAAAGCAATCTAAGCCTAGTAGTTTGGTTTGCTTTTGTGATGGCAATGTTTTAAAATCAGTAATTAAACTTAGTAGTTCAAAGACTCTTCAAGGTTTTTCCTAAGTCCTAAGTTGTATTTTTCTAGGAACTCTCCATTTCACCTAAATTTTCCATTGGCATAAAGGTATTCATTATTTTTTTTAAAGATTTTATTTATTTGACAGAGATCATAAGTAGGCAGAGAGGCAGGCAGGGGGGGGGCAGGCTCCCCGCTGAGCAGAAAGCCCGATGTGGGGCTTGATCCTAGGACCCTGAGATCATGACCTGAGCCGAAGGCAGAGGCTTGACCCACTGAGCCACCCCGGTGCCCCGGGTGGTCATTATTTATCTCTTTAATAGTACAGCATCTGTAGCTATGCCCTTTTTCATTTCTAATATTTTTGTCTTCTTTCTCTTCTCCTTAGTTTCACTAGGTTTATGTATAATTTTTCCCCTAATTTCTTTGCTTCTCCTACTGCATTGTCTAAATGAGATGTTTAGTTCACTAATTTTAAACTTTTCTTCTACTCCATTTTCTTCTACTGTAAATATTTCCTTTTAAATATCCCTTTAGTGTTATCTGACAAATTTTTATTATTTATTTTGGATATTTAAATGTGATTTTTCATTGACTTATGTGTTGTTCAGAAGTAGTTTGAATTTCTAGACTTAAAGTTTTCTAGGGGCACCTGGGTAGTTGAGTTAAGTGTCTGACCTTAGCTTTGGTCATGATCTCAGGATCCTGGAAATGAGCCCCACATTGTCTGCTTCTCCCTCTCTCTCTGCCCAACCCCCAACTTGTACCCTCTCTGTCTCTCTCAAATAAATAAAATCTTTAAAAAAAAAAGAAAAAGTTTCCTAGTTTTCCTACTGTTACCAATTAACTATACTGTAACAACAGTCAAAAAAGTAGTCTGGTTGGGGGGGCCTGGGTCACACCATCAGTTGAGCTTCCAGCTTTGGTTTTGGGTCCTGGTCTCAGGTCAGGCTCCGTGCTTAGCGCAAAGTTGGCTTGAGATTCTCTTTCCCTCTGCCCCTCCCTCACGCACTCAAGTGCACTCTGTCAAATAAATAAATAAATAAATCTTCAAAAAAACAAAACAAAACCAAAACGTAGTCTGCGAGCACCTGGCTTGCTGAGTCAGTGGAGCATGTGACTCTTATCTTGGGTTGTGGGTTCAAGCTCCAAGCTGGGTGCAGAGATGGCTTAACAATAAAATCTTTAAAAAAAAAAAAAAAAAAAAAAAAGTAGTGTGTAGTCCTTGAAGCTTACTTTATGGCCTATTGTGTAGTCCATTTTCATAAACGTTCCTTAAGTGCTTAAAAATGTTTAACTAGGGGCACCTGGGGGGCTCAGTCAGTTAATCATCCAACTCAGGTCATGATCTCTGTGTCATGGGTCCCACGCTGGGCTCTGCACTCAGCACAGAATCTGCTTCAGCCTCTCTCTCTGCTCCTCCCCCCACTTGCTCTTGCTCTTTCAAATAAATAATATCTTTTTAAAAAATGCTTCAACTATTACATGTACTAGTCTATATGTATATATTAGATCAACTTTATTAACTGAAGTTCAGATCTTTTACATTCATACAAGTATTTTGAGCGGGAACACAAGCAGGTGGAGTGGGAGAGGGAGAAGCAGACTCCCCGCTGAGCAAGGAGCCTGATGCAGGACTCGATCCCAGGACATTGGGATCATGACCCGAGCCGAAGGCAGCCGCTTAACAACTGAGACACCCAGGCGCCCAATTTCTATCTTTTAAATAGCTAACTAAATCCCTAGGCAATTTTTATGATTATTGATAAATTTAGATTTGTTACTAAGTTATTTTATATTATTTGTCTTGTTCTTTCTCTTTTTCACATCCCTTGCCCTGTCCCTGCTTGCCTTCTTTTGGAATCAGGGATCCTCCCCCTTTTTTTCATTCAATTTCCCTATCTTCCTCTTACTTTTTTTTTTTTTAAAGATTTTATTTATTTATTTGACAGAGCGAGAGAGAGAGAGAGAGAGAGATCACAAGCAGGCAGAGAGGCAGGCAGAGAGGCAGGAGGAAGCAGGCTTCCTGCCGCGCAGAGAGACCAATGCGGGGCTCGATCCCAGGACCCTGGGATCATGACCTGAGCTGAAGGCAGAGGCCCAACCCACTGAGCCACCCAGGCGCCCCTCCTCTTAAACTACTTTTTAAGTTTAAATCTCAATGTCTAGGGTTGCCTAGGTGGATCAGTTGGTTCATGATGAACCATTATTTTAGTTGTAGCTGGTCTTGAAAAAACCCAAACACCTACAAATTAAGTGTAATTGTTCGAAAATGTCGATGATTTCTCCCCAGTCTTCTGGTGGGTCCATCTACGTTTCCAGTTTTGGACTTTCTGAGCTGACTGGTCTTGCATTATTGTTAAGATGCCAACTCTTAACACTTCACATGGTCTCAGAGTCTAGCTAAAGGCATGCTAATTCTATAATAATCTATAAATAGAAATCTAACTGCCTTAATCATATTTTATGCTTCCATTTTAAAACTATCACACAGACGATTAGAAATCTTTGCTTTTATTATCCCAAAGTTTTAAAATGTTCTTTTTTTAAAGTTTTTCATTTGTGGTCCATTAACTGGGGGTTGGAAGATTTCCCCCCAACCTGATTTTTCCTCCCAAATAATTACCGTCTGCCTGAATCCTTTATTTTCAATAACTGAGTATAATTACAATTTTCATAAATCTATCAACTTATTCAACAATCAAATATTTAGTGAATACCAACTACTGTATGATATAAAACAAACAAGACATACTTTCTACCCTAAAGAAATTCCAGTGATTTGGGAAAAATACACAGAAATAGGAAATGATGATATAATATGAAAAAGATGACAAGAGAGCATAGAGAAAATACGCCTAATGAGGGAAAAGAAAGGTAAAGACTTTGTGAGAAAATAACATTCTTATGCTATTTGAGGATTTATGTCTTTATCCATTTCTAAATAGTTGGCAAAAGGACGGCACTCCCACAAGACACCATGAAATCATATTGTTAAAGAGCTAGTCCTTCAGCTTGGAGAAATTCTGTCTTCAAGACATGCTCTGTAACTTTCTGTTAAAAATTTAAAACATTTCAATTTGAACAACAAACATTTTTTAGCAATTAGCTAAGGCCCCCAAGGATAGACCTAGGTCAGAAAGTTTAAAGTTCTTATAACTTATCCAAAATAATATGCTTGATAAAATATACCATTTGTAAATGGGGCACCTGGCTGGCTCAGCCTGTGGAGTGTGCAACTCTTGATTTTAGGGTTGTGAGTTCCAGCCCCACTTTGGATACAGGGATTACTTAAAAATAAAATCTTAAAAAAAAAAAGTACCCCATTTGTATAAAAGCTCATGTCTCAGAAATGTTTACCAAGCACAATTTTATTCTATGTCAAAGATTAGCAGACATACTGAGGCAGTTTCAAGTCTCTGGACCTCAAGTTTACTTTTAAAACAACTAAGAGTTTAAGGGAAAAAATCTTTAAGGCCTCATCCTACAGTAATACTACAATAATAAAAGTATGCCAGAATATTAACATAAATGGATAACTGAAAGTGAAAGAATTCAACTGGATACTCACTTGGACACATTGCCCACTACTATTGTTTTCTTTACAAAAAGTCGTGAAGTCTCATCTCCTGTGAGATCAGCATTCCGCTGCTCTGTTTTATGAGAGGCAGTAATACTAGCGGTGTCCTGAAAGAAATCATAATCAATTTTCACTTTCAATTTGGACAACATCCAATGGGCAGAAACCACAAAATCATGGTATGATTGGAGCAACTCAGATTTTTTTTTATTCATTACAAAATTCTCTGGTTTTGTGGTACCTTTCAGAGCATAAAAGTAATTTTACTGTATCTTTTGCATTTGTTTGCAAAAAATATTTGTTCACTATAACTCCATGTGTATGTATCTGTTTTTAACAGACACCCTTGTGCTGTATATGCAAATAGGATATGGAAGGATATACAAGAAACTATTACAATGGTTACCTCTGGGAAATGGGAATGGGGAGAGGGGTCAATGGAATTTACTTTCTTTTCAACCTTCTGTATTTATTAAAAATTTTTCAGTGAGAAGTAACATAGACAAATGACTAAAGTTTGACTATGCAGATAGACTGCCAGGGTTTAAATCTTGGCTCTTCCATTGACTAGATGTGAAGTTTTGTGTAATTACTTAACTTCTTCTCTGTCTCAATTTCCTCATCTATAAAATAAGGATAACAGGAGCACCTGGCTGACTCAGTCAGTGGAGCATGTGATGGTTGATCTCTGGACTGTGAGTTTGAGCCCCACTCATTTTGAGGTTACTTAAAAATTTTTTAAAAACCTAGGGTGCCCGGGTGGCTCAGTTGGTTAAGCATCTGACTCTTGATTTCAGCTCAGATCATGATCTCAGGGTCCTGGGACTGAGCCCTGAGCTGGACTCCCTATTGAGTGTAGAGCCTCCTTAAGATTCTCTCTCTCCCTCTCCCTCTGCAACCCCCCCTCCACTTTCTCTAAAAAAATGTAAAAATAAGGATAATCTCACATATATGTTTTGTACAGTTCCCAAAGAAGTGCCTAGTACACAGTAAGTACTAAACGTATGTTACATAAATATGAGCATGTATATTACATACAAGATGGTAAGTTTCTAACTCCTATAACCAGTATTGCCTAAATTCTTTTTAATTAAAAAAACAAAAAGAAAAACAAAAAACCAAAAAACCCAAAGGGGTGCCTGACTGGGTTATCTGGTAGAATATGCGACCTTTTGATCTTGGGGCTATAAATTTCAGCCCCATGTTGGGTGCAGATATTACTTAAAAATAAAATCTTGGGACACCTGGGTGGCTCAGTCAGTTAAGCGGCTGCCTTTGGCTCAGGTCATGATCTCAGAGTCCTGGGATCAAGTGCCGCATAGGGCTCCTTGCTCAGCAGGGAGCCTGCTTCTCTCTGCCTCTGCCTGCCATTCTGCCTGCTTGTTCTTTCTCTCTCTGACAAAAAATAAATAAAATCTTAAAAAAAAAAAAGAAAAAGAAAAAGAAAAGA